AGGTTTTTAGAGAGAAGATCGGGGAGATTAGAGATATGATTTTCGGTGGTCGTCTCCGTATCTGATTTCATATCTCCGATTAATAAATGTTCTTCCTTCTCTCTTTTTCTTTCTTCTCTGCATGACAATTAAACCAAAACCCATCTTCAAATTTCGAACTAAGGAGCAGAGATTTTGAGTGGGTATGCTGTGTATCTAAGAAATAAACCATACCCATCTTGAAATTCTCTGAATTTGAGAGTTTGTAGAGAGTAGTACAGTGAAAATCACTGAATCTGGGTGGAAGAATCCGTGAAAAAAAGACCAAGAATTGTTTTCGATTATGAAAGGGAGAAACAGAGGTAGCACCTTGGCCTATTGGGGGGTTTAGGGGGAGGTTTTTTGAGGTGTGTTAAAGAATCCTACGGAATCATTTATTCACATTTAGGGGTGGTTGCGTTTTCTTCTTGTTTGCGGCTAAGAAAAAGGTACCATAAGATTTGGATTCTTCTGTAGTTCATTTAGTAACTTTTATCAGTAATAATTTCTAAGAATTTAATGAACTGGGTTCAATTTTGTTCTTTCTAATTCTCAGCTTTGATTTTCTGCATTAACTCAGAGCTTCAAGATATTCAAAGGCCGTCTTTTTACGAATTCTGTTTTCTTTTTTCTTTTTTTAAATTTCCTCGGGAGACAAACAGAAACCTTGCAAATGAAGGAGCCAGATAAGAGCTTGGATCCGCAGCTATGGCATGCGTGTGCTGGATCCATGGTTCAAATCCCGGCGGTGAACTCTAAAGTCTTCTACTTTCCTCAGGGACACGCCGAGCACTGCCTCTCCGCCGTGGATTTCTCGTCTTCGCCGCCAATCCCTGGTATTATTTTCAGCAGAGTGGCCGCCGTCAAGTTCTTGGCCGATGCTGAGACGGATGAAGTGTATGCTAAGATCACGTTGGTGCCATTACCGAGCAGTGAGCTTGATCTTGAAGATGATGTCGTTTTGGGTTCCGGTCATGGGTCGGATAATGCCGAAAAGCCCGCTTCTTTTGCTAAGACACTGACCCAGTCCGATGCTAACAATGGGGGTGGTTTTTCCGTTCCCAGATACTGCGCGGAGACCATTTTTCCGAGACTGGATTACACTGCGGACCCTCCGGTTCAGACGGTCATCGCGAAGGATGTTCACGGCGAGATTTGGAAGTTCCGGCATATTTACAGAGGGACGCCGAGGCGACACCTGTTGACGACGGGGTGGAGCACGTTTGTCAACCAGAAGAAGCTTGTCGCCGGAGACTCGATTGTCTTCCTGAGAGCCGAAAACGGGGAACTCTGTGTAGGAATTCGGCGAGCAAAGCATGGGATTGGGAATGGGCCGGAGTGTGGAACTCCTGGATGGAATTCCGGCCATGGAAGTGGAAATTGTACTAATCCCTACGGGAGCTTTTCTGCTTTCTTGCGAGAGGAAGATTGCAAAATTATGAGGAATGGGAATCTGGGTTGTGCCGGAAACTCGAGAGCAAAGGGTAACGTGAGGCCGGAGGCTGTTCTGGAGGCGGTGGCTCTGGCTGCTAAGGGACAGCCATTTAAATAGATTTCTTCGCAGTCATTTGTCTTTCTTTTTTTTTTTTTTCCAAACCTTTAGTCAGTCGTGGGGCCACAAAAAATTTGGCAGAAGGTAGACTTTCCGCTCGTGGGGTTTCAAGTTGGCATGTTAGGTTGTCAAAAAATTTTGAGTTGGCACTGACATGCGCATATTTAACGGAGGTTAACGGTGCACGTGCTACACATGACGTTTCGGCGTTAAATTTTACCTCATTTCCTCAACTCGAAAACTTTGAGCGTAAAAATTCATGTATTGTAATATAGAGGGTAAAAACCTTAAAAGTCAAAAAATTAAGGGGTAAACTGGTACCTTTTGCCGGCCAATAGGTACTTGTTAAGTTCTCTTTTTTTCCTTTTTTGCTTTTTTTTTTTCGAGTAGTGCTAGGAGCACTCGCTCCAGCACTTGCTTTTCAACACTCGGCCCTTTGTTTTGCCACGTGACTTAGGAAAGTAAGACTTTAACCGGAACCGGCAATTGCAAGTAAATTTCTAAAAGACAAAATCATTAAACAAACTATAAATTACGGGGTATAAAAAGTTGTGCCGAATTTTAAAAGTGAAGAGAGAGAAGAAAAAAAATAAAAAGTTCTTAAAATCCTCCGCATTTCAATGCCTACCACCATGGCCGTCCCCTTTACTATAAACTGGTTTTAGTCAAAATTTTCCAACCCATGTCCCAATCCTTTCATCTTTCCTCTCAGCAAACAAAGGGTTAATGCTATCTATTGTTCTTCTATTATAAAAAATAATACAATTTAAACCTTGTATTATGGTTTCATGTCTTTCTTCTACTATTAATTAACTTCATTTGTCGTCCCTCTACTATCTAAAAACATACCGATGTTATCCCTCTGTCCAATGTAAGTTAACAGGATTATTTATTGACCGTTAAGTGACAGTCACATCGTTAGGATCGCTTTCACTGAACGATGGCGCCTGCAGATGCTTCACCAAAATTGGAACAGCACTGCCTTCAATGATGACGTTCACAACTTCCTTTGCCAAAGAATCATAAGAATGACACTCAAAATCCTCAAATTCAAGTACTAGAGATCACCTTCAACAAATATGCTTAGTAAACGAAATCAGCAACATCCGCACGAATAACATGAGATCTGAAGTAGTTCGATATCGTTCTTGGCGAGTTCGGCAAGGACGTGAGTAGCGAGCTTAGTAGCAGCGTGATCGGCATCACACTAAGAGAAGAAGGTGGAATTGAGGACGTTAACTTTAGTAGTTACCTCACAAAGGAGAGCGTGGCAGGTGTCACTGGACGACGAAAGGGAAATCTCCAGTCCTCTTTAATTTCTTCCTCTCAGGGAGACCCTGATCTTGGTGCCTCTGCAGCTCCATCGGCAGGCAAATGCGGTTGTCTTGCGGGAGTCGCATCAAATTTTCATGGCCAAGAGTTCGATGCAGACGTGATGGAAGACGACGCCGGAGGAGGAGCTTTCATTAGGTTCTTCACTGTAGAGATTCTGGTTGTCTTTGAAGGAGAATGGCAATGGCGACGCAGAGGTATCGTGAATCCGTAGCATTGATTTACTGCTAGCTTAAGGCCACCACATTGATGGTGGTGGAGATCAATCACGAAATTTTTCAAGCGGATTTCAACAACCATAACAACCAAAGTTGTAGAAGTCAAGAAAACCAGATGAGCAAGTTCTATTGATTTTTATTGCTTGAAGCTAAGGCTATGGCGGAGCTGCAAAAGCGAAAATTTTTCGAAAGTTGAGATATTTCATTTTTGGGAGTTTAGTTCTGCTTTATACTTAAAGCAGTTAGTCTGTTGGCTAGGGTCGAGGGTGGGTTTTTCTCTTTGTTTATTTATTATTTTCTTTATGGTGTTTAAAAGAAAGGATGGGTTTTTTTCTTTGTCCATTTATTGTTATTTTTATAATATTTATAATTTTAAAATAGGTGTTTTAAAAAATGTTGTCTAATTTAAATTATTTTTTGATTATATAATTTTAATATGAGATTAGTGTTTGTTCATTCTATTTTCAAAAAATTAAAAAAATAAAAATAAAAATCATTTTAATACATGCTTTAAAAATATGGCAGTTTAATCTTTTTTAATAAAATTTTACTAAAATGACGTAATTTTTGGATGATTTTTTTCTTAATTTTTAAGAGGTAAAGTTGATTGACACTATTTCCTTTTAATATTTGAATGAAAATAAGTTTTTTTACGTTAATAATTTTTATTTTATAGTGTAACATAATTTAAATTAAAAATAAAAAATTATTTTTAATATTAAATATAAAATAATTAATTTTAAATTAAAATATTTGATAATACAAAAATATTTTTTTTTAGTCTGTTATAAAATTTGAGTTGCAAAAGTAGTTAAATATCTTTAGTAAATAAGATTTAGTTGGTGTATTTTTGGTATTTTAAGTCTGGACACCATTCTCTTGCTAACGAAAATCGAGTTAACCCCACTTCAATTTATGGATAACAAGAGAAAATAGATAGCCACATGCCCACATACAATAGGCTCGTCGGGGAGATCTAATCTAAGTCAACATGTGGGCCATGGGGACCAGGCAGGCAGGCAAAAAAAGAATTAAAAAGGTCT